AGTTGCAATAATTCACTTTGCTGGAGTAGTCAAAAATAAAAAACAAAGAAAACAGATGATCTGGAGTCTTTTAGCACTTAGTGTTAAATCAGGGTAAAGTTTTTCCAAGGAGCAGAGTAATCTCCGGCTTCTGAAAACAAAACAGTGTTGTTTTTTTTTTTGTAACACTGGTGTTTTAACAAAGGGAAAGTGAAATTTAGTCCATTGGTTGTTGCATTAGCAACACAAAATACCATAGGCACCAGCCAATGTTGTTTGCGATGCCAGGAGCTGGAATACGGGTTTGTTGGACTGGCCTCCCTAACTGTTAAACAATAGCTTGAAATAATATTAGAAACACAAATTATACTAAGGCATCATCAAGCTCTGAATAAATAACTGCTTACCAGGTCTATACCTTCTTGCCAGCTTTAATCTTAAAAAAAAAAACAAGCCAAAACAAAACAAAAACCACACATACACACAAAGACAACCCTGTCCCTATCAGATTCTGCTTTATCACAGAACAATAGACGGAAATAGAAATCCTAACAATAAAGGTCAACAGCTGAATATGAACTGTGTGTTGGAGTTTCACAGAGACAGAAGTATGATCAGCTCAGAAGGCCCACGTCTGCTGAATCACTCAGGTATGATCAGAAAGTCTACAACTATTCAGTCAACGATCACCTATTCGGTAGAGCCTCTTACCTGAAATACCTCTAAAATCAGCGTTGAGGGGATCAAATATGTCTGTAATTCCCAAGGCAGAAAAAACTGTCTTTAGGTCAAAATGGCTTTGGATACTGAATCTGAAATGAACATGATAGATTTTATTTAAATGCAGCATTCATAGTTTCATAGAACTAAAAGGTGGAAAGTATACAATTTATTTCAAGACTTTGAATTTCATCCATCTCTTGCTTTAGGAGCCAAATGCTTTCTGTCTGATTAAAATGTACTTTCCAGAAAAGCATCTCATCTTGATCTGAAGATATTAACAGACAGAAATATCCACATCCATCTACTGCAATCAGGTTGCCTCTCAGTCTTCTTGACACTTGAACTTTGCGTTTGCCTGAATGTGCTCTTTTTAACAACCTATTTGGCTGTAGCAAAGGGCCCTTTGAAACATTTATAAAAGATTAGCTTGGGGAAAAAGGAATATTAATGTACAAATTGTTTTTCAGTGCTTCATTAGCATGGGGCCTGTATTGTAAGAGCTGTGTACTAAAGCCCTTCCGTGCTGATCCACACAATAGGTACTGCCACAAAGACCCTCCTGCTCGTGGAAGAGATGCAGCTGATTCCTCCTGCTACCCAATTTCATTTGAACAGTTGATAGAAAATGCTGTCAGGATATGTGCATTTCCTAGCAATGGTGAACAAGTAACATGCAGAATGGGCAGCTGAAAGTTGTGCAGAGAGAGATGAGTAATGATCAGTGGGGACTGCTAAATTCTCTTTTCATATATTTTTTAGTGTACACGTAAGCTGAAGAAATAAGGTGTTTTTTTTTTTTTTTAAGGCTATATATTTACTCTTCCTTAAGCAAACAGAAGAATGCGGTGTGGGAAAGGGCCAAGAATATTTCTCTCTTTTTAGAACATTAAAGGATCATTATGCCCCAAACAAATTTTAGATAAGAGTTGTAGAAAGAACTCAGATTCCTTTTTTTTAGACAGCACATAACATACCGGAAAGTATTAGCATTCCCAGCTCATCTCTTTATGGCTTCAGTGAAGGTCAGAGCAGCTTTTTTGATGATGTGATCAGAAGAACAAAGCTGGAAGTGTCTCATTTGGTTTTGCTCATGTCAGTGCTATCATACGTAATTCTAACAGCAGAAGTAGCAAAGCCCTCTTGAAGTAATAAAAGCACTTACCGAGGTAGAAAAATGTCCATCTTCATTCTCTTTAAGCTGTTGGCCCAGAGGGTTATGGTTTTGGCAGAAAGGTGTGACTCAATCTGGGACAAAGATGTGCTTTTGTGGCCAGGAAGCACCATGAACATGCTGATTTTCTCCCCGATGTATGGTAACTCCACCACGCTGAATGGCTCCAGAGAAGCAGTCTGGAATTGGCCTGGAGGCAGGCAAATAGCATCCTTATTTCATCACTCAAGTGAAAAAAACCGGTTTGGGGAGGCAGGTGGTTCAGAGCACCAGAAGTGGGGTGCAAGGGGCTCTCCCATGCGCCAGCCCCGGGGCCAGCTCTGGCTGCCGTGCACTGAACCGCAGCAGCTCATCTAAACACACCCAATCCTTTCAATATATATATATCTCAGCAGAAAAGTGCTGATGACCAGAATCACCATGTCTGAAGTGCCAGCTCAGTGCACGGGTACTTTGCTACTTTCTCATGTAGGCGTTGCCCTCCTTGCTCAGAGTTTAGAAACGTTACTGAGACAATGCCAGTAACTTCTCTGGGGCTGGTCCTGCCGTGCTTGTTCTCTGCATAAATTCATGATTTTCTCAGTGATTGCCATCTAGCACCTTTCACTAAAAAATCACTACTGAAAGAAATTACAAAAACAAAATGAGAAAAAGAAGTGTACTATTTAATTAGCTGAAAACTACTTTGACCCATGTTTCCATCTTTAGTATCAATTAAAAATCAGCTTTAATCTTATTTCCCAAAACAAACGGCTGCATTAAACTCTAACGTAGTGAGGCTCATACTTATTTAAGCAGTATATTTCTTGTTTTTGAAAATCCGGGCCTAAAACCTAACAAGATCAGGTGAAGGTCATAAAAACTAGACTCAAAAATAAAAGCTAGTGGGCTTCTAAGCTTGTAAAGACTTGCAACAACCATTTAAAAGTACTGTTTTTGTAGAAGAGATTCCTTGTTTCAAAGAAGGATTAATCCAGACCTCTCAAATGGTCTCTGTCACACAGGAAAACAGATTCAGTTATCACAGTTCCCCTTTCCTATTTTATCTTCCGTTAATCCAAGAAATGGCATTTCAAGAATGCTCAGCAATAGTTAGCAGGCAAAGAGTTAAAATAGAAATTGTAAGCAAGTGACCTATCATTGCCATTGCCGTAGGCCATCCCAAATACTGAATCTAATTCCTCTCCACCCAGCTATTGTAGCTCTCTTTTTAAGGTAGATGCTTTTCAAGTCAGGTGTTATGAACAGCAGAACATAACTTAGCTAATATCCGTAATACAATATAATTACAGAACGTCTTGATTGTTCAGTGGATAACTTTCATTAGGTCTGTAAATCTAGATTAGACAGGACTAATTAAATGTTTTTTATTCTGCTAGATTAAATTTTAGAGCCTTAGATTTGCTCTCCCACCATGCAGCCCTTAGAGGGAAGTGTGCTGTTGAAAACACTTTCCAACACAGGAAATCAGTTTGCTGAGAAAAGGCCTTCTGGTTTGTAAAGCGCGAGCAAAGAAGATTTAGGTTAGTGCTATACTGGACACGAGTGACTTAATTTATGGGTATACTGAACATTTGAAGTCTGCATGTTGTCCACAGAGATTATAAAGACCTTATTTGTTAACTGGAAAGAAAAACAAAGACTTGAGATTATTGAGTTAGGATGTTTAACGTTCCTCACTTGAACTGATTTTGAGCATCCCATAGGGATTCTATATGCTAAACTAGTATCTAAGTATAGAACAAACTACTTGGAAAAAACAAATATGTAAAACAGATGCAGTGTTTAAAAGACAACACTATTACTATTTACTATGTACACATTACTATTTACCACGTAAATAGTAATTTTGGCACTTTCTTAGATCAACATTAATTGACCTTGGGCTATTTTTTTCTACATGGCCATGCTAAAAGGATAAATGAAACTGTAAATACCGAGATTGATATTAGACCACAGCTAATCTTTCTTTCTCTATATTTTGTATCCTGATGGTAAACAGCTGCTTTCATTTAATACTGAAGGAAAGTTATCTCATGCCTCTGTTTTGTTGCAGTAAACCTGTCTTTTGAATTAATTTCAAACTGGTTTATCAGAAATGTTTCTAGCATTTCTAATGGTAACGATTGAATTGGCCCTGTCAAATCTGACAAGCAACAAATTGAAGGAAAGCCCTCTGCTTTCTACGTTCCTCAAAAGTCTCTCCAGCTGCAGAGAGCTCACACATTTCAGACTGAGTGAAAAGAAAATCTCAATATTTTGGCTAACTTTTCTTTTCTTTGCTGGTCTAATGCTCCAGCTATTTACTTTGGGAAGGGAAGGATGGAGTTCTTATAGTTATGGAAATGGCCAGACAATTACAACTAAAAATTTTATATCATGTTTACAAAGGCCTGGGAAGAGATATGTGGTCAGTTACTGCAGCTCAGCTAATTAATTTCTGTTTTTTTCCCATGGTCTCCACTGGTACTGTTCGTACAGCACTGCAGACCCCCTGCCTTCAGCCTAGGCTCCTTATTTTTTCATCTTGCTCTAACAGAAGAATAGGTTCCAAGGAGAGGTTTGCTTCTGAGCTAATTAGTGTGTGCTCATCCTCCCAAAAACATTTGTTTGCTTGTTTAACTGACTAGCTAGTGAAGCAAGGGTGGGTAACACTGTTCCAGATTTTATGAGTAGCAAAGGCTTTGCAGTGAGCTGGTAACACAAAATCACCTGGGGCTGAATGACTGCGAGCTGATGCAGTAGTTTATGTTACCTGGAAATGAAGATGATAAGGTTTAGGACCTGCGAAAGGTGAGATGGGCTCCTCAGTAAAGCCAATTAACTTCTGAAAGGTTCGAGTGCGCAAGAGGAATGGGAATTCTCTAAGTCAGAGGTGCTAATGCTCCCGGGAGCTTGTGCCTGAGCAGAGGGAAGAAGACAGAAAAAGGAGCTAGAAAAAAGCCTCAAACTACTTGCTATGTTTTTACTCACAAATAGTAATCTATCTGACCTGGATAACCACCGTCCCAGAACACTGAAAGGACTCGGATGTCAATTTGCAAGTGTGCTAGCAAAGATTTTTCAGTAAATCTGTAGATTCAGAGGTTGTGTCCCATGACTGGCAAACAGGAGCATATTTATAAGAAAAAGTAGGTAATATGAGAAGTTGTAAGTCTTTGTTTGAAAAATTTTAGAATATGCACTGGAGGAAAGAATAATTAAGTCACAGAGGGAGAGAGAAAGTGAGATAAACTGGAACATCAGATAGGCCAAAGCAGACAAATCCGTGATCTTTTTTGACAGGATAACTGATTTGTTATATAGGGGTAAATCCTATTGATTAGTCTTGAGTAAAGCATTAGACACTGTTTCACCAGGACACTATTTACAGGTAGGGGTGATGGTGACTACTGGAAGGAATGAAAGTTAGCCAGCAATTGCTTGAAGAGCAAACAGCAATGAGCTATGTTAGTAGTGAGGTTCCCAAGTTGAAAAGAGGTTACCAACAGCTTTCCAAAGTATTTCCAATATTCAAGAAGACTTTCATCAAAGAAGAACAATGAAGATACCTTGATGACTGAACTGGTGGAAATACAATGATGTTCCAAAAAAAGAAAAGAAGGCATGTATTTCTGGAGATTTTCCTCCCCTTGGTTTACCTAGCACTCATGAGTGGAAAAAAAAATGGAGAGGAAAAAAAGACTGAAACCATAGAGCAAAAAAGACTGTGGTGAGTACCTACCCTGATGTGGTTCTGTGAGGCTCTAAGCAAGGTATTTCTAGCAAGGTCATGGAAGTACTAAAAGCGTTCTAACACATATGTATGACCTCATTAAAATTATTATGTATGCTTTTGATCACTTATCTCCACTTAATGTAAATTGGGTAAGTGCAGAAAAGGACGAGTAGAGGCCTGGAATATCTATTTTATGAACAGAAATTGAAAGGGCCTGGCATCTTCAGCTTAGCCAATAGAAACTTGAGAGGTAGCTTGGTGACTCAGAAGTACATTTGGGAATAAATGCTAAAGCTGAAAAGAAATTATTTAAGTTAAAGGATAAAGTTGGCACAATATCAAAAGCTATAAATTAGTTTTGAAAAAGATTAGACTTGAGATTAGACGGATTTCTACCCAAGTAAAGTTCTGAAATAAGGTAGAAAGTGAAGGAAGCTGTTATAATTTAAAAGGGATTGTAAAACTAAGTGGAAGAATTTCTGATGATATGAAATTAAGCCTGCAATAAATAAATCTAGCCTTGGGTGAATAACGCACGTGCTCCAGACTTTTGAAAGCAGCATACATGCTAACTTATTTGCCCTGTATTAATACTGCTTTCACTCCATACTAAGGGCTTCTGCTAGTTGAATATAAGGGCCAGAAAAACTCCTTTCATCTTTTTTGTGGACTTTGCCCTACCTTTGACTACTTTGCCTTGGGGATGGGTTGTAACCAGAGACAGGAGGGACGGGTGTGCAGTGCTGGTGCTCACGGTGGTGTTAACCTCTCTCTGCTGCTCACATGCTCAAGGGACAAACAGCGATCAGGTTTGGGGGCCGCAGGAAATGTCTTATCCATTCCTTAGGTCAAATTGGTAGGTAGAGTCTTGATCTTGTTTTAGTTTCTAACTGCCCCTTTGTTATGGGGCCAGATGTGCTCCTTAGGGTCCTTTGGGAGCTTTATTTAACAATCTCCCTGCTATTGCGAGGGACTTTGTGTTTGATGGCATCCTTACTCTTGCCTGTTCCCCTCTCGTAGCTCAAGACACCAGTGTCTTTCGGTTGTTTGCTACAGCTGACAAGTTTGTTAAGGGGTGCAGGCAGGTGTTGGTCTGGGAGGGATGGGCATGGATGGTAAACGTTTTAGGAACCGTTTTGAACAAAACATCTGTTTCGTGATTGCTTCTGGACTCAGTTCAGTCACCCAGGTGGGCTCCTCATTTTATGGGATTTCTTTATTCCAGGCTGGGAAAAGATCACATCTTAGTTTAGTGGTTGTGGGAAGTCAATACATAAAACTCTTCTATGTTGTATGATATACCAGATCTGGAAGAAAGATAGTTACCATAGTTAACTTCAGCTGTGTGATGCATTGTGGGGACTTTCAGGGTTAAGCCTTCTGCTGTAGTAAAAGGCAAGATCTGGGTATCCATGAAGGAAAATTTCTTTTGCCACGTGCTTTTGAAGTACGTGGTGCTCACCACAGTGACCTGGTTGAGTGGCGATGCAGCCGTCTCCAAGGCCATGCCGTGGAGGTCTCCATCTGCACAGAAAAGAGTTGCGAGGAGATGCACCTAGCACTGCATACACAGACATAAAGCCCAGGTCTGTATTAGAGAGGTCAGGACCTCTCTTTGGCCTTAAGGGCAAGAGGCACGGTACAATTTGCATTTGCACAGCCAAACCCTCCTCACCCCACCTGAACGTGTCCCTGGTGCCTGTTAGCCCACCTTTTCCCCAGAAGTAAGCTTAGGAGATGCCATGGGCTAAAGCTGTGCCAGGACTGTGCTAATAACTGAACAGTGTGGATGGCAGCAGGCCACTGCTCCACATCATGCCCTGGCTCCAAATCAGTTTACTAGTACTGACCTAGCTTAAAATTGCCGATATGTTTTTTGCAGTATTTGATCTTTAGTTGCTGAAATCCCTCATGAAATGTATTCATGATTAAAGACCACTTTATGAAGCAACTAAATCAGACAAAGCTGAGATCCTAGTTATCCCTAACCCTTATTTAATTGGCAGTTTAATTGATCCTGCCTTGGCTTTCTCAAAGATTTTTAAAGTGTGATCCACGATTAATTCATCAATATTAATGTGACTGCCAGAATATGAACTCCCATTTCCCTTGGCTTCTAGAGCAATACTTTTCTATCATAAAGCTGGATCACTTATTACAGTTCATTTGAGAAGGATAGACATTTTTTTTCGATAGCAGCTTTAACGTGTGCGTGTTTAACATCGCATTACTTTTGAACACGTTGATGGCCAAATTAACACTCATGTAACTTCAGTCAATGGGGCAAATCAAGGATTAATTTGGCCTACTGGTTCTAAAGACTTTCTTTTTCAATTATTTTTTCATTAACATTCAATTTAGTTTCATTACTTTTCTTGCTTGTGTGGAAAGTAAATTCCTTTTATTTTCCGTTTTGACTTCAGAGCGTGAGCGCTGAGCTTCCTGCCCTGCGTATTTGCCTCAGCAGCACAGAAACATCCAACTCTGCAGACTCAGTCTCTGGGGATCTTGGCTGCTCCTCATTAAAACTCAGAACACTGCAAAGGATTGCCATTTCAAAAATTAGAGAAATAAAGCCAAGTGGGTAATGGCTCAATACTGCAAACTTACACTGGCAGGTTCAGATATAGTCCATGTTCTTTCCTCACGTTAGAAATGAGCATCAGCACAGGGATCAGGTTTTGGGGCTGCCAGTCTTGGTTTATGCAATACGGAGGGTGGCAAAAAAACTTTATACTGGTTAAATTCAGGATCTCTCGTCCCTCTTATTTTACATTTTCATTCTGTACAATCATTCTTATGTTACCTCCAATGTTACTGGTAATCCATTCCTGTATTTGGGCTGCAGTGGCGTTAGGGTAGCTGAAGTTGGCTTGCTGCAGGCTGCTGTTCGCCCAGCGCACGGTATGAGCAACAAAGAGGGGCGAGAGCTGAAGTCCTGCTTGCACAAAGAGGGAACAAGCCAGCTGGACCACGGTGCCTTGGCTAGAGCTGCCGGTCGCCCCTTCATATACCACTCGCAAGAAATCCTGCACGCTTTGATCTGCCAGGTAAGACAGAAGGAAATACTGTGATTATCATGGTGAGGCTAAGAATAGCAGAGATTGCATCAGGGCTCGGCAGCTCTCAACTCCAGTGCTGACACCGAGGTCCTCTGAAAATTAAAGCAATGTAATAACTGAAGCACCCTTCACTTTATGAAGTGCTACTGTCAAGCACTACTGTCACGCACGATGATGCACTGGACGTGACAAAGCACTCTCCGTGTTGTTGTTGAAATCACTATAGCGCAATATGCCAAGTGGCTGATTTCACATCTCAGTCTGTCTCACTCCTCTACGTGAACGCAGTTCTTGTTTCATAAGGAATATTATTTTCTTTTGGGCTGTCTCTCAGTTCCCGTGACTGAGAACTGGTGCCTCTGGCCGTGCCAGGCTGAGCTTCCAGGGCCACAGTCCTGCAGTCTCCCTTTCTTGCCATAATCGATTCCACCTCTCCCAGGAAATACGTCTTTCTGACTACCCCGGGGCTGGACCCCCACTTCTGTTTCTTCTTTCTTGATGATGGTGCCCCAGGCTGGTGCAGTGCTCCAGGTGAGGCCTGGCAATGCTAACTAGAGCTGAAAGGCTGCTTTATGTAAGTTACAAATGACTCTTCCATTTATAGAAACCACAAGTGTCTGCTTTTTTTGTGGCACAATTATGTTTTCCATTCAAAGTTCATTTTTTTTAATTCCAAAGAGCCCCCCGTCAAGTCCTTTTCCTGAAAAACTGCTCTTTAGTCCACTGCCCCCGGCTGGGGTAGCTGATTATTCCTACCAAATGTAGAACTTTTCACTTGTCATTATTGAATTACATCCTATTTATTTCATACCTTCCTCCAATTTGCCAGGATCATTATAAATTCTATCTTTGTGCTCCAAAATGCTTGTAGCAACTCCTATCTCAGTGTCATTCAGAAATTCACTAACTTATTCTCTAGTGCATTGTCCAACCCGCTAATGAAAACAGCTGAATAGTGCCCCAGTCTCCTGTTCCTGGGAGTTCACGGTAGGTCAGGGGTAGTGGCTGATGTGACGGATACAAGGTTGGGCCACACAGGATAAGGAGTTTTGCAGTCTTGGAGAATCTTGTGTATATGAAATCAAAAAGTTTCTAGTAGTTTATCCTAAAGGGTGATTTAGCAGCCATTTCTGCCTGTTGTTATTTTGCTCGTGCTAGTGGTTTGTGATGGGATGGTTAATACTGAGGTGACCTACCCCGGCCCGGGACTTGTACCCAGTCTGAGCGATGCTGGTGGGTTTTCTGTCACATCTCCTCGTGTTTGTGGTTCAGCCCCTTTCCTGTGTCCCTTAGTGTGCTTCAGGGGTGACCTGCTTGCACTCACCAGATAAAAGTCCTGTCTAGGTTGTCAGTTGCCTTTAAGAAATTAATAACTGATTCCGTCTCTCATAAATAAGCTTTCCCTGAGTTCTGGGAAAAGTTTGGAGGACTGCTATTCTTCAGTCAAGAAATCAGCACCTCTTGGCTCTGGGGGACCACTGTGGCCTCTCTGATTTCCCAGGACGCCAGCATCCAGGTGTCCTGATTCCTGTGTGAAATCTCAGCAACTCACTGCTGAAAAGAATTGTTGGCCACCGTGTCCGAGGAGGCCAATATTGCACCTCTCACTTCTCCAGGGTGCTGTGCTCAGCTCAAGTGTTTTTCTGCCTCAGTCTGAAACCTGGGGCATCCTGGGCAGGTCACAGGCATCCAGCTCCCCAAACCAGGCAATTCAGGGCTTGCTGCTATAACCGCAGTTCGAAATCTTGTTTATGACTCCAGAGAGACCTTACCTTGATGAGGCAGAAGGTGAGTTTAATATATACGGTTTGCTACCAACTGAGAATCCAGCCCGCTTTCTAATCTAATAGTGTCCCTTTAATAACCTGGGAAGACCTGTATGAAGTTCGGTATTAAAATTTAGATCTTTTATTCTTTAAGGGATAAAACATTGGACTCCTTAAACAGATGTCAAGAAAAATCACACGGTTTGAGGTGTAAAGCGCTTTTCTCATGTGTTTTGCATTAGTGCGCTAGCATTTGGCATGTTCTTTTGAGGATGTAAGAAATCAAAGATGGTAAATTGGAAGCAGATGTTAATGTGAGGTGCGGTATCCTGAGCTTGTAACTTCAATATCAAAGTGTTTAGCTAACCGAAGTCCTGAATTCTTACTCAGAGAACAGTTCAAAATTGCTTTAAAATATTCTACCATGGATAAAATAAAGCAGCGAGGAGAAAACATTTTAAAGTATTTCATTTTTTCTGTGCTGTCTAGAGAGACATCTCTATATATTTTGTTTTTCTCAGTACCAGAATGGAGGTGAAAAAAATCTTCCAAATGCTAAAAGAAGATTACAAGTACATGTAAGAGCTGATTCTCCCTGAGTAGTGGCTGAACTATCGATGTCTTCATTGTTTTCAACCTGCTAAGTTTTTTTACCGTGTCCTTCATTATTGTTGAAGACCGGTCAACAGAAACATTAATGCAAACATTTAATTGAAGAACAGAATATTATCAGATATCCATATGTATATACAATATGGTCTTACTCATCTGATAGGAAACAAGATCTAACTGTTTGATTTGTTTATTTGGCCTTAAAGTGCCATTTGAAGAAGTGATTTCCTCCTGGACAGAGGCATCACTGCAAATGCGCTGTCATAACCAGGAGTGGTAATCCCGTCCTGCTTTATTTTCCCATTCACACATTAATATTTCTGAAAGCCAAAAACTGGTGACATACACACACCACTAAAATGGTGAGAAAATGTCTGTTTGACATTATGTGCCACAGGAGAAGAAGTAGGACACCCAGCAAAAGAGTTAGCAGGCTTCTAAAACACCTCCGCACTTTGTGTTATACATTGTGTGGAGATTTTTGCCTAAATTTCGCTGTGCGATATGCTTGTTAAGACTTTTTCTTTATAACTGAGCACCTACCTGACAAGCAGTGTGGCAATTAGCAAGGTAAAATCCTTGCATGAATGAACGTTGTTTAAAATGACCTTGCTGAATTTACAGAAACAGGAGTCTTATAAGCAAGACTTCACTACATTGGCTGCTCATAACAAAGATGCACTGTCCTTGTGCCAGTGCATGTAGCAGTATCTGTGTGTATTAGCCAGTGCTAGTACTGTGTTAGTTTTGACTATGAACGATACACAGAACAGCGATAAAGACTAAGGCAGGTTACAGCACAGGAGAGTGAAATTACTGTGGATTTTCTCTTTAGTCTTCATATGATGAAAGTAAATTTTATGCCAAGAGGTAGTGGTATCACCTCTATATTGTCTTGTATGCAAGCTGCAAATTTTGAAGATGAGGCAGTCATTTGGTTTTCATAAACCTTGGGCCCATAACGTAAAATAGTTTTTGGTATATGGTGTGACACGGTAAGATAAGCCAGAGTTAAAATGAAGACAGCATCCTTCAATTCATCTGACTTAATGCTGGATTCCAAGACATCTGCCTTTTCCATATTCCCTCCAGATTTTCAGGGAGCTTTTTATTTTAGTCTGCTTTCAGGAAAAGATGCAATCGCACCATCTGTCTGTCCGTGTAGCTCTCCGTCTGCCAGTCTCCTCCTAATAACTTTTCGCCTTGCTGGCCAATTGTAATAAAATTAGAAAAAGGGGTAGAGTCTTGAGGATTATTCGATTCCTCCAGGTTTTGTACAACTTGTCAGGGGGACAGGACGGGAAACAACTGCTCCAGTGGTGGGAAGCTCGGTGGCATTGGGCAGGGCAGCTGGGGAAGACTGGGGGAGATTGGGGCACGCTGCGCACCGGGAACCCCCAGGAAACTAGGAGAAATTCTGCTAGCCTGGAAGGAGCTACCCTAGATGGAGTTGTATTTTGGTGCAGTAAGAGTAAGCACCGAAAGAGAGATATGTGCATATAAACTACTGAAAGAGTTTCCTTTGTCTAGTTCATACTTAGCTAGCAAATATGGAGAAAGCAGTCCTGAATTACCTCTTGCAGTGCCTGTTAATAGGACAGAAATTCAGTACAGTGTGTGCAGTTGCTGCCTCCTTAGTAAAGCTGTGAATTGACTGCAAAATGTAAGGCAATCACTACTGAGAATAATTTTTTTCAAACAGTACGTTACCGTGAATGCTGTATCCTAGGGCATCCCGCAGCTCCGTAAAGGTGTTTCCTCGAGCTCCAAACTGCAGCAGCTCCAGAGAAACCGCCACGCTGGCTGGCGACACCACCAGGTTGGTTTTGTTCTCTGCTTCGGCCAGGTACTGGTAGAGGTTGATGGCAAATTCAGTCTTCAGCTCTTTCAGCTCATCGTGGGAGACGCAGTCACCCTTAGTTAAGCAGTAAGCGGAAAGGACGAACGCAGCGAAGAAAATGGGCGACATGAAGGCAAGCCAGAGCGCTGTCCCCAACAGATAATCATACCTAGAGTTAATAATAGAGGTGTTTAGAAAAGCAGTATGCCAAGGTGACAGAGGAATTTTCTCTTTACATCAGCATTAAACTATCACTTGCAATAGTAACTATTACCAGTATAAAACCTCTCCAGACCTAGCCAGCAGCTTTTGTCATAAAAAATAAAATGGAGGGACTTACTGATGACTCTGTTGGCTAGCAAGGACCAGGCTTTTCCAGGATGCTGTACCAACAGAGGATGATTGACCCCTAGAGTACATGGAAGTACGGTGCCCATCCACTTAAAAGCTAGCTACCTGCATGTATGATGGGACACTTTAGGGAAGTGCCGGGCACCCGCAGCTCCTTTCTGCCCCACCAGAAAGGGTGCCATCCACAGCCCCCCAACAGGAGGGCTACCTCTTGGGAGGCGCGGGTGTTCAACCAGGAGCTCCAGTCTGGGGTTTCGCTCTAAGTTTGCAAAAAGCTGGCTGCAAAATACGCCCCTCTGATTCAATCTATATGAAATTTATCCCGGTGAAAAAAGGCGGTATTTGCAAAAGGCACAAATGCCTGCCGCACAGAATCACTGCTTTAGATTTTTGTGGGAAATCAAGCCTTGGTCAATGTTATATTAAGCGAGACATAGATTTGTATTTAAAGGGAAAATGCTGAAATGACAGAACAACTTTCTTTACAGAATTTTACAGTATGCAAACATATCGTAAAAAATACGGCACCTTCTTTCCCTTCAGGATTTCCTACAAATCTTTCTCTATGCCCTTTGCTCCAGAGAGCACCTCTAACGCCTTATATTTACTCACAGTTAGCTCTGTGAAATTGTCTCGCCTTTCTGGGTCCTTCTGGGTGTCTGAATTGAAGCTGTCTATGCACGTCTTGTCCCCTTCTTTAATAGGTAATGGAGGAAAGACTAAGTCATGAGACTGCATTTAAAGGGATAGTCAGTGATCAGAGTCTCTGTCGGCGATGTCTGTACCACTCTGTCCAAATTCCTGTAGGTTACAGGCTCTATGGAGAGCCAGGCAAAGCAGCATGCCACTGACCAGCAAATCCAAGGCAAGGAACAAAAAGGTACACATGGAGATACGGTCAGCAGCTTCCTCTCAAACACTGCTCAAGCCTCATTAGGCTTGTGACCTGCTGGTACGAAGCAAGGCATCTCCTATCTCTCTTCCCACCCCCTCCTCCTTTTATATGAATTCCATTGATTCCTCTGCCACAAAGGGGAAGAGAAAGGGCTCTCTGTGTACCAGGCGCATAGTTTTTTTTTTTTTTCCACTTTGAAACCTTATTCAGAAATCCCATGCAATTAAAATGTCTTTATTTGCTGTGTTTTCTTTTTCTTTTTCTTTTTTTTTTTAATACCATCCCAAATTATAAGATTTTCATTTACTCTTTAGTTTCTGGGTGGGAAGAAATGACAAAGCAGTGCACTAGAAGGCGATCAAATGAGAAGGAGGTCGCTTGGAATGAGCCAGAAGCAGAATACCTGGGGTTGTAACCACTTTCAACACAGCTTCAGCTGCTCATGGCTTTCTGCATGTGACAGGATGAAATCCTGCTCATCGTACTCGCAGACTCAGCCTCGCAATGCCACCTAAGGCAAGCAGGAATTTAGCCTAAAAAAAAAAAAAAGTGTAAAAATGCAGCCTACCGGTGGGAATATGTATATATTCTGAGTTATTTTACAGTGTACCGTTGCAACTGGGAAAGAAACACAAAGAAAAAAATCATTATAATAAAGTAATCGTGTTTAGGTGCCATTGTTTTCTCTTTAGCAGGGAAGAACCAGCCACCCACTTGAATCAGGGCCCAAAGGAGCACTGGAGCAATGGGCAGATCTAGTTGGGCTTGTGCTATTCCTCTTTTAGAAGATGACAAAATAAACGCTGATCCAGGGTGCTGCCTCAGCATCCTGGGATTTAGATCATATTCCTGGTAGGATAGATGGAGAAGGGCAAGACTAGGACAAGCAAGCATGCAGGTTTTGCCATCGATTTCAATGGCAGTATTTGCATGCTGAAGGTTACACATGGGCTGAAGAGTTGAACAAGGACCTCTCTGCTGAAGCCGTCGTTAATGGTGCGCACTCACATGCAGACAGGTATTCACAGGGGATTAAACTGAGGCCACTGAATGATTTCTCAAAGGGCTTGGAGCCGTCATTCAATAAATTGCTTATGGTCACTGGTAAGGACTGTACACCTGGGTTTGAGGTGATGTTGCCAGAGGCTGCAGGGCCTGTGAGGCCCTGGCTGATTCTCTCCTGTGGATTTACTAAGATTTAGAAAAAGGATAAGGAGCCCATGAAGATTTTAGACATTATTGTCAAAAATCAACCTTTTTTCATAGCCGTTCACATCCAAGGGAAATAAAACTGTTAAGAATGCTATGTATTCAACTCCCACCTGGCAAAAATGAAACCCATGTTGCCATTCAGATTTGGGCTAAGTATCTATGGAAGATGCAACTGAGAATTGGACCTGGTATAAATATGGTGCAGGAGATGCCTTTTCTATGGGAAAGGAAAAAAAAAATCTGGCCCATATGTCCTCAGAGAGGGGAGTTAGAAAATAGACTGTTTGTTTTAACATCCCCCTCCACCCTGCACACACCTGGTTTAGGAAAGGAAAGGTGGGGGCGCTCCTCGGCAGCATAAACAGAGCTTGCAGACAAGGAAAGAGGACTTAAGAAAACTAGGACGAAACATTGCTACCTAAAGAAGCTCCTGGGGAATAAGGATGGAAAACAAATAGAAAAGAAAACTCATTAGCGAATGATCAGAAGGGTAAAAGGCAGTGGAACAAAAGGAAGGGAGAGTCTAGGAAACTAGCTGTAGCTGAAGTAAAAATGATGAGATATTGGGATATAAACATGGGGAAAATGAGGATGGTGAAGGCCTGGGGCAACTTGTGCCCCTTCCTGCTAGCAGCGCCAGTGTCCAAATTTTAGGTTCCTCATCTACAAACTGGGTCCAGACCTCACAGATGGTGTATGAAGAGCAGCTGGTGTGACATGAGGGTGAGGCAGAAGTCAACACTACCAAGCTGGCCAGGAACTGGGTGTCCGGCTGTGGACCATGGGCAGGAGCTACCTTCCCCCAGATCCAGAGCCTGGAGCCTGCTGGGCGGCGGTAAGGTGAAGGTATGAGCAGACGTTTTGCTTCAGACAAGACGGCAGGGCTGGTCCACCTGGAGTAAGCCATCTCAAACACTAACCACAACTGTGAGACAGCTCCCAAACTGAAGAATTTAAATTTATCCAGCTGTCAGGAGAGGTGATAGCTTGGCCAGGGACTCCACAGGCCCACGTGGTTGAGCTTCACTTGCTGCATTTGTCAGGTGTGTTCATGGTAGCTGTTTTATGCTGAGCTTAAAAATGTCAGTATGTTTTTTGATGTGTTTTGAGCACATCTGTTAGATTAGACCTCTCCTGGGACCTGCGAGCCCCCTCTGCCGTCTGTCCAAATCTGGCAGGATTAGCCATAAGTGAGGAGCTGAGCTGCACTACCAAGGGTAGTTTGGGGCATATCCCGGGGACTGCAGACCATTTGGCCCAATTATAGAAACTTCAGGTCAGAAAGAAAGGTGTTTTTGAAACTGTAGAGGCCTTAGGTTGGAGCCACTGTTGAACAAGGGTTTTCTGGCTCTTCTTTAGTTTTTATTTAGGCTCTTAAAACTTGCCTATGTCCTAGTTTAAGCATCACATCCTTGTTTTAGTCTTAATCTGGATATGCATCACAAAGTCCTGAGGAAAATAATGATACATTTTCTGGAACACATTTTGCTTGAAAATAGAGAAGCCTTTAAAAAAAGAATGCAGTTAGTGTTCAAGCTAGCTCTTACAAGATGGAAAAGGGCAGAGGAAAAAGTTATATTTTGAGAAATGCTTCTTGACATTGAAATAACTTCGACTGCCTCTGAGGGAAGTGATGAAAGGCACAAACCCAGTGCATCTGGAGAAAATATGGCCTTCTGCTGTGCTGGTCAGAGACTGGAGCACATGGTGCTGTGGGCTCTGCGGAGCTCAGAGGGCTTCAGAAGGAGCACCTCTCTCCTCACTGAACTGAACAAATCACTGTGTTTGGGAGGGAAAATCACATACAGGCCCCTGATCTGTGAGCAAACCCCCAAATGGGGAACAAAACCAGGGGAATGGGTATCCTAACAAAATATCTCATGAAAATCAGCAGAGCCAGACACCAGAGGCTGATGGAAAGTGCTGGGGAGAAGCTGTGGGTGACAGCTCCTTTTGCCAACAGGTTTGATCCTGTCGGCCTCTGTTGCGTGCAAAAGCTGTTGCTATAAGAGCCCTCCATGTCCTCCCATGTGAACATCATTGTGAACATGGGGACAAACTGCTGAACACTAAAAAATAGTCATACGTATCTCCTCAATGTCTGCTGTGAAAAACGCTCAAGAGCAGAAAGAATGCACAAAGGAAAGAAGTGAGAGCAGAGCTGGGGCAGGAGAGACACGGGAGAGTGGCTCTTCTCCAGGCCTTCATCCTCACGGTATTGGTGGGCCAAATTCTGTCTTCTGTTACAGGAGTGTAAAGTCAAACTATTGCCATCAGCGTCAACTTACAACTTGTGCTACTTACGGTGGCAGGTAGTGCGGATTGGCCACAGCTGGGTGCCTACATGCTGTACATCACTTATGATGGGGATGGCTGCACAGCTTGGCTCACTGTGCCCCTCGACTCTCTCACGCTGGGTTGGAGGAACCCTGAGGAAGGCAGGACGGGGGTCTCACTGCCAGCAGCAACCAGCCCTAAATGTTGCTGGACTAAAAAGCAGCCCTGGAGAGAAAGACATAGTCTACCTAGACATTGTGGGCAGATGAAGATTTCTTTGTACTTTTTCTCCTCTCCCAGGAGATTGGACTTTTATATTAATTTGTATTAGTTGTTTAAATTGTATTAATTGTTCCTAATAAAACGAAGCCTTGGGTTTGGAGTGTCTGCCTAA